ACTAAGAGAGTAATTAGACAGCATTTCCTGAGTTTTCGCCGCCTCCAGCAGCATTCGGCCTCAGCCTTCAGTGCCCTCAGCCCTTGGCCTTCGACCTGTCCTGAGCGACTCTAAGCTGCAATCTTTACTGAGGCTGAGTAGATAAGTACCTAGGTAGAAAATTAAATAAGCCTGAGCCCAGGATCGTCGCCTTCGACCTGTCCTGAGCGACTCTAAGCTGCAATTCTTAATTACTGAGGCTGAGTAGATAAGTACTTAGGTAAGAAATTAGGTAAGCCTGATCCCAGGATGACCCGAGCGGTGAAATTTGCGGTGATCCTCAGCTTCCTGGCCCTCAGTGCCGTGTCCCTGAGCAGCCACTCGCCTGCACTTAGAAGACCTTTCTGAGAGTTTTCTGAGTGCACTTGTGGCTTGAGCACAGCATGAGTTGCTTCCGAGATCGTTTGGCCTGAGGAGTTGTAGGATTAGGTCTTCCCTGAGCAGCCTGAGCCATGCAGAACTGCACTCCCCAGCGGCTCTTCAGCATCCCTTTTATCACGCCTGAGCATCATCTTCGCTTTGAAAGGGCCTCAGACACAGAGCCTGAGATCGGCTGCGAGTGTGGGGCTCGCCTTAAGCTAGGCCGGCTGCCTTGGCAGAGCCGCTGCCTGAGCTGTAAGAAGCCTTGGAAGGCCAGGCACCTCTGGAGGTACCACTCTGAGGTGCTCGGCTTAGTCGGGAAGCTCCCTTGGAACTGCCACCTGCGGTACAACCTGAGGATCATCGCTGAACCCGAGTTGCCTGAGCTTCCTGTCTCAGCCTCCTGGTCTGAGGATGTGCCTGCTCCTGTTCTTCAGACTCCTAAGAAGCGGCGATGCAGGAAGACGGTGTCGGACCCCACAGCAGCTTCCCCGCCTGAGGTGGTACCTTTTTATTCGCCTGAGGTGGTACCTGTTCCTCCGGCTGAGGTGGTACCTGTTCCTGAGACAGAGAAGGCACCTGTCCCTGAGAAGGAAGCTGAGGTCACGGACTTTGAGGAGGAGGATGAGTCCTCAGAGTATTTTGGCCTCGTGACTGAGGAGATGGTTAAGGCGGCCGACCTGGGTGACCCCATCCACTACCTCCACTGTGAAGATCCTGAGTGCGATTGTAAGTTAGCGGGGGTTACTGATTGGCACATCCTCAGCCCTCAGAGCCCTTATCAAGTGAGTGAGGATCCTGAGTGCCCGGAGCCCGAAGAGCCTAAGGCTTCTGGCTCCTTAGACGAGCATCCTGCCCTGAAGGCCTCAGAGGAAGACTCACAACTGCCCTCAGAGCTTGCGATTGAGGAGGAGCTCAGCCGGCCCATCAAGAGGCTCAAGCACCTCTGAGCCCTCAGGTCTGAGCACTGAGATTAGTCTTATCTAGTGTCCTCAGCAACAGCCTGAGGAATTTCGAGCACAGTTTTGAGGGGTGAGAAAGTGCAATTAGGTGTGTTTCTCTCAGTTCGAGTGCAGCCATGTCCTTCCTGAGTGCTCGCAAGCCTTGAGGATCGCTTGTGTGGAGCTACTCTCGGCCTCAGCAGCACGATTTGCGGGATGCTCCTCAGGCTTCTCGGGCCAACCCTAGGGCGGCGAGGTTCCCGCCTGCTGGTCCTCAGACACAGCCTCAGCCGCTGCCGCCGGCAGCTTATCCTCAGCCTCCTCAGCAGCCTCCGCAGCAGCATCCTAAGCAATCGAGTTTTCCGCCTGCTTATCCTCGGCAAGAGAAGGCCCCTCAGGCCTCAGGATCGTGGACTCCTCCGCTGGGCAATGACCCCTGGCTTCGTCAGGCCCTTAGGGCTGAATACTTAATTACTATTAAATAATTATTGAATAAATAATTAATCAATTAATTAGGGAAAGAGTCTGAGTGCACTAATTAAAGTAATTAGTTAATTAATTCTCGACACCCTAAGTAATTAATTACACTTTCATTGTGAGGGGGCCCCCAGCACCTGCACAGGCGCCTCAGCCTTATCGGCCTGAGTACGATCCCTGGCATGATGACGTGGCTGATACTGAGCCTCAGGCTAGCCTGCCTTAGGGTTTAGGGTCGCTCTTCGGTGGTAAATAATTAATTAATTCATTAACTTCGAGGTTTCAGGAGGATTTTATGGTTGAATTAATTAATTAGGTGATAATTAAGTAGTTGATTCAAAACTGAGGGTTTGAGCCTCCTAAACCCTTACAAACCCTAAGCCCTAAACCCTTCTCAAAGGGGGGTCCCTCCAGATTCGATCCTAAATCTAAGTTTTTTATAGAAACTTAAGTACTGGAGAGGCCTCTTCTGAGCAATAGTCCGGGCCACCCTCCCTGAAGGCAATGCCTCAGCAACCTGTGCATCCTCAGCAGGCACCGTACCCTCAGGCCTTTTTGGGGTGGTTTAAGAGGGACAATTAGGGGTTTTCGGGTCGTCTAAGAGTACAAAACTTAAGGGTTTATGCCTCTGACCCTTACAAACCCTAAGCCCTAAACCCTTCTCAAAGGGGGGTCCCTCCAGATTCGATCCTAAATCTAAGTTTTTTATACAAACTTAAGTACTGGAGAAGCCTCTTCTGAGCAATAGTCCGGGCCACCCTCCCTGAAGGCAATGCCTCAGCAACCTGTGCATCCTCAGCAGGCACCGTACCCTCAGGCCTTTTTGGTGTGGTTTAAGAGGGACAATTAGGGGTTTTCGGGTCGTCTAAGAGTACAAAACTTAAAGGTTTATGCCTCTGACCCTTACAAACCCTAAACCCTAAACCCTTCTCAAAGGGGGTCCCTCCAGATTCGATCCTAAATCTAAGTTTTTTATACAAACTTAAGTACTGGAGAGGCCTCTTCTGAGCAATAGTCCGGGCCACCCTCCCTGAAGGCAATGCCTCAGCAACCTGTGCATCCTCAGCAGGCACCGTACCCTCAGGCCTTTTTGGGGTGGTTTAAGAGGGACAATTAGGGGTTTTCGGGTCGTCTAAGAGTACAAAACTTAAGGGTTTATGCCTCTGACCCTTACAAACCCTAAGCCCTAAACCCTTCTCAAAGGGGGGTCCCTCCAGATTCGATCCTAAATCTAAGTTTTTTATACAAGCTTAAGTACTGGAGAGGCCTCTTCTGAGCAATAGTCCGGGCCACCCTCCCTGAAGGCAATGCCTCAGCAACCTGTGCATCCTCAGCAGGCACCGTACCCTCAGGCCTTTTTGGGGTGGTTTAAGAGGGACAATCAGGGGTTTTCGGGTCGTCTAAGAGTACAAAACTTAAGGGTTTATGCCTCGGACCCTTACCAACCCTAAACCCTTACAAACCCTAAACCCTAAACCCTTCTCAAAGGGGGTCCCTCCAGATTCGATCCTAAATCTAAGTTTTTTATACAAACTGAAGTACTGGAGAGGCCTCTTCTGAGCAATAGTCCGGGCCACCCTCCCTGAAGGCAATGCCTCAGCAACCTGTGCATCATCCTCAGGCACAGCACCCTCAGGCCTTTTTGGGGTGGTTTAAGAGGGACAATCAAGGGTTTTCGGGTCGTCTAAGAGTACAAAACTTAAGGGTTTATGCCTCTGAGCTTTCCCTTGAGGCACATGTTCCTCAGCCAGTTGCACATCAGCCGGCTCCTGCTCCTCAGCCAGCTGCACATCAGCCGGCTCCTGCTCCTCAGCATCATGGTCCTGAGGCCTCTCTTAAAGGGTTTAATTAATTACATAATTAGTTAATCAATTAATTAGGTTTCAGGATTTTTTGTAATTAAGGTGGATTAAGGGCCTAAAACATAGGGGTTTGTGCCTCTAGAGCCCTTCCTGGAGGCAAGAGCAGAGCCTCGGTGCGAGCAATCCTTAGTGGCCCACGCCTCAAGGATTCTGCCTGACTGGAAGAAGACAGTCCTCAGGTGGGAGGCTGAGGTGAATCGGGCCACTAAGACGGTCGTTCAGCTGCCTCAGCTGCTTGAGTTCCACAAAGACCTGAGCCACGACCTGGGAGTCGTTGAGGGTCTCCGGGAGGAGTTCAGGGAGGTCATCTCAGAGCTCACCTCAGCTCATAACGACTTCATGGAGCTTGAGAACTCCCTGAGACGTGGTGCCAACACAATGAAAGCTGAGATCCTAAACCTGAGGACCCAATGCCTTGAGGCGGTTCCTGAGGCTCGTGTGCCTGAGGTTCGTGTGCCTGAGGCTCCCAAGAAGGCCCCTGACGAGATTCTGTCAAGCATGACTGCTCAGCAGAGAGAGGCCCTCAGGAAGCATTTTCGGGAGGGGGCCTTGGCCAGCCGGCCTCGGTTTCCCCTTAGCTAGTTAAGGCAATCCTCAGGCTCTTTAATGCCCTGAGTGCCCGGAATTTCGGAAGCCTGAGGTTTCATTCTTAGGCTGAGACTGGATCTTCTAAGAGGGTCCTGAGATGCTCCCTCAGCACAGACCATGCATTTGTAGAGTCCTGAGTCTAAAAGAGCTGAGTGCAGTCGTGTTTGGCCTGAGTGCAGCGGTTTCTGTGTCCTGAGTGCAGCCCTGCCTTCCTGAGTGCACGCCGGCTTGCTTGAGCTGAGGATTTTTTTGTGTGCAGTGAAGCCTTAGGCCCAAGGTGAGATTGCTCAGCCCTTCCTGATCTCCTGAGGGTTAATTATCCTGAGAACATGGCATCAGACCAGGCTTTGCTCAATTACCTGACGGTGGTTGCCCTCAGTGTGGACCCTTAGTGAATGTCTACCTCAGCAGGCTCCCTTGGCAGACCAGGTGCATTAGGTGCAAGTCCTCATGGCCGGCTATGTATGTCGCTGAGTATTGCGATGATGTCGTCTCCTTAGTGAACAACCTCCCGTTCGCTCGACACCTGAGATTCAGGTACATCCTCACAAGGGGCGACTTAGTGCCGGTTGATACACCTCAGGCACCTTGGGACACACCTCAGCCTCAGCCACGTGGTCCTGCTTGGGGGGGAGGAAGCTGGCCTCAGCAACCTCAGGGAGCATGGCCTCAGCAAGGCTGGACTCAGGCCGGCTATGCACGTCCTCCTCCGGCACCGGTGCCTGAGGAACCTATGGAACCTGAGGACCGGCACCTTGAAATCAACCTTAAGACCCTGAAGAATCCCAAAGTTTTGATATCTACTTAGCAGCAAAGCCCCTTAATTAATTACAAAGCGCCAAAACCTAAGCTCTAAACTTGTCTGCAGGAGCCTGACCACGATGACGACGCCTCTGAGGCCGCCGACTCTGAGGACACCTTGCCTGATGAGAGCCTCCTTGAAAAGGTGGAACGCCTGAGGGATCGCTGGATGGAGCAGGCCTCAGTGCAAGAAAAGAGGACTCTGGTGGCCCTCAATGGTGAGTCTCAGGAGGACCTGCGACTCCTGAACAACTTGGGCCTCAGCTCCTTCGATAAGTTCAGTGACCTCAGGGAGAGGCTCCTTAAAGAGCAGATGAGGCTTGAGGCCTGCCTTAGGACTGTGGAGCAGCTCTGCCACCTCAGCAACAAGGCCTCCATGTCTGCCAGGGAGGGCCTCAGGAAGATGAATGCCTCCTTCATGCCTGAGAAGAACCCTCAGAGGGATGACATCTTTGTGCCTGAGGACACCGACCAGCCTGAGGCCGGTTTCGCCACGCTTCACCTCCGGGCTGAGGAGAAAGCTTCAGGATCTTCCTGTGTACCTGAGATCGATGTGAGCGGGCTCCTGAGCAGGTACAGCCCTGAGGAGATCGCTCAGCTTCAGAGTTTTTTCCTCCAGTAAGGGGCCCTGAGCTGACTTGGTGGCTCCTAAGTTTTGCCTCATCAGCACCTTGCAGCAGCCTAAGAATCGGGCCACCTTACAGAATCGGGCCTGGCTCGATCCTTAGGCACACGAAGAAGAGCTCAGTGCAAAAAGGAGTGTTCTCCACCTGAGTTCGCATGCATCGACTGCTGCACCTCACTGCTTGTCTGAGCAGATCCTGACTGCCTTAGAGTCTCCCAGCACCTTTTCATCTCAGGTCCCGTGGCCCCTGAGATCATGTCTCAGCTTCGCGACCTCACCGGCTCAGTGGACTTTGCACCCGAGCAGCAGTGCTTCTTCAGTGTTTTTTGCCTTTTCTCAGGTGTTCTCTTAGTTCTGCACCATCCAAGGCCTCAGCCTACTTCATCGTGCTGAGCATCGTCATCTTGCAGTTCCTGAGGAAGCTTCTCAACCGCCTAGAGTATGTCTCAGAGCAGCATAAGCCAAGTGCTGAGAGCCTCAGCTATCTGGGCAGCCTTGAGTGGTACGCCGAATCTCAGGAGCCAGCTGAGTTCACGCACGGGGTTCTGAGCTAACTATTTAATTAATTAGCTAATTAATCATGTAAATTAATTAATTAAGCCCTCCCCCTGTGCTTCCCTAATTAATTAAATAATGAAGTCTTTTTGCCCTGCAGGAGAACTGGCTGAGTGGGGTTTCTGAGCGACTCTCCTACATCGAGCTGAGCAACTTGGCCCGCACTGAGGTTTCTAGCTGGCTTCGGCACTTTAGTCGTTTTGTGCTCGGCCTGGCCGGCGATCCTTTTGACATCCTCAGGCATGTCACTCAGGACCCAGAGAGCCTCCTTCCCTGAGTAATTAATCAATCCTCAGTCTGCTCCTCTCCGGCCAGGACCTCGCCGACTTCGACGAGAGAGCCGGCGGTGCCATGATTTTCTTGGAGAGGCTCCTCAGGCAACGAGTGTCCCTCAGCAACTGCTCGTACCTGAGAGATCCTTGCTTGCACTTAGTCAGCAACTGAGTACTTCCTGAGTGCAACTAATGACAGACTCACCGCTTCAGGCTTACTTCCCTGAGACCAAAATTTTCACGGCTGAGTGGGACATGATCCTCAGAACAGCCATTACCAGCCTGAAGTCTGAGATCTTTTACTACAGGACACTCTTAGTGCCTGAGATGCACTGAAGTTTTCCTTGGGTTCCTGAGTCTCTGGGTTCAGTTGTGCTCCTTCTGCTGTTCCAGCTAAGGTGACCCATGGTAAGACGGCCACTGAGGAGCAGCTTGAGGAGCACACTCGTATCCTCACAAACATTAGCAGGCCTGAGGTGCAGAAATGCATGTTCCACCCTGAGTCTTGGCTGTAAATACCTAAGGCACATCCGTGAAGTCGGCAAGTTCTTTTCTGCCTGAGTAATTAATTAATTAATTAATTAATTCATGTGCCACATCTAAGGAGGCCGAGAATGATGAGCTCCTGAGGGTATTGCCTGAGGTCTCATGTGCATGTATCATGTGGTCCCTTAGGAGCTCCCGCCTGAGCTACCTCCCCCAGAAGTTGGGAGAGCTTAAGCTGAGTGAAGCTCAGCAGACCATGATATTGGCCCTTCCTGAGAAGCCGCGAGCACTCCCTGAGTGGAACATCCACTCAGAAGCTTCTTGGCTTGAGCTAGTTAAGTAATCAATTAATGTAATTAACTCAGTAATTAATTAAGCTTAATTGTTAAGGTTGTTGTTCTCAATCCTAATCGATTAAAACCCTAACCTTAAGTTTCACGCCACTAATTAATTAATTAATTATTCTCGATCCCAAAACCCAAAACCTTGATTACTTAATTACTAATTATTTAATTACTAGGAAAGCCTGAAACCGGAGCCTGAGAGCCTCCTAAAACTCCTCAGATAGCAAGCTAGCTGCCCTCAGTCCCAAAGCCCAAACCTCAGGTAAAGCCACCTAGAACTGGGGCTTAGGGTTTGTGCTTCCTTTGCAAACTGTTGCTGCTAAGGGTTCTTTGGAGACTTCTGGAAGGGTAGTTAAGGTGGGGGGGTTGAAGGTTTGGGATTCCTGATTTTAATTAATTACCCATAAACCTCGGTTTCAGCTTGCTGTTCTCAGTCCCCAAACCCAAAACCTGAAGTAATCAATTGATCCAGGGCCTGAGCAAAGTCAAACCGTAGCCTAAGCCTTCCTTGAACCCTTTAATTAATTGATTAGATAGCCTCTAATTACTTATCATCAAGTAATTACCTTAAACCCTAATTAAACCCAAAACCCTAAACCCTAAACCGTAAGCCATAATCACTGAATGTCATCTGAGGTTTCGTACCTCAAGGAGGTCATGAAGACCACGGCTCAGACGGCAACCCCTAAGACAGGACCTGGGGTTTAGGTTTTAGGGTTCTTGGCGGTTACCTTAAGTAGAGCCTTAGAGGACCTGAGTCACTTTGTGCGGAAGCGGATGATGAGCACTTGCCTAGCAATTGTCTTCCTGAGAGAAGACGACAAGGACGGCATCAGTTGCTGCTGTAGACAGTCTCAGAACTTCGGTGTCTCAGAAGAACAGCGAAGTAATGAATTATAATTAGTCCAACTATTAGTTAATTAACCAACTAAGCAATGAATTACTTGAGAACGAATGAATGAACGAATGAATGAATGAATGAATGAATGCACCAGTTCTTGTCTTACCTAAACTTCAATCGATCGCCTTCCAAGCCTGTCGGTATGGTTTCGTGCTCAGGAATCAGACAAATCTGAACCGGCCACGGATCGGGAATCTGAGGCCTGTCCTAAGAGCCGGGTGGCCCGGAACCCGGAAAGGATGCCTAAGTTGCCCTCCCGGTATGGTTTCGTCCTCAGGAATCAGACAAACCTGAACCGGCCACGTTTCGGGAAATCTCAGGGCTGTCCTAAGAGCCGGGTGGCC